TAATTCCAGACACATAGTGTCCGAATTGAATTGAATGGCCGAACATTCGGGTCGGGTCCACAGAGTATTGGAGAATTCCTTGGTGTAGAACAAGCCCACACACTTGGTGTCAGAAATGTTGTGTGATTAGAGAAACAAGTCTGAGCCACCACACCACCTACCTGTTTTTATTGCTACCCTCTAATTCTTCTCACCTCAGTAATTGTTCCTTTCATTTTCAGGGGAATATTCAGACTTAAGATTCAAAGGAGAATATGCTGACAACATATCCAGGGTGCTTTCTGGAAACTGAAAAAAGTTCTGAGTTCCTGTCACCTAATTGGTTGAGCTCCATTGCCCCTCCCCCTGTCCTTCAATAAAGCATCTGCGGAAGCCCTTCCAACCTGTCACTCCACAAGCAGCCAGGAACTGACCACAGAATAAGGATCTCAGCTGGCGGTAAGTTGAAAGATTGACAGTTTAGAAATTATTCTGTGAACACCTACTGGGTGGCAGATACATCCCCAGCTCTAGAGCTGGGCTGTCCAGGAGAGAATCCACTGACACATATGGTCATTGAGCTCTTGCTAGTCTGACCTCAGATGTGCTGTAGTATTTTCAATATATTAAAATGCATTTAATGTATCTAAAATCTTAGTATTAAAAAAGGATGCAAAATATGTTATTCATGATTTTTAGAATGATTATGTGTTGAAATAACATTTTTTCGTGTTGAGATAAAATATACTATTAAGATCAATAATTACTAAAACTAAATTCCTTTAATTTTATAAAAACATTGCAACAATGAGGCTCACATTTATGGTTCTATGGCACAGTGTTACTCTAGAGATAGACACCTTGAAAAACTCTGTTCCTCTTCTCTGCAGCATTCATACTAACATGCAGGGTATTCGAAAGGAAAAACAAACAAAGTAAGAAATAAACAAGAACAGCACCTGGTGACTTAGGATATACCTGAGGCATCCACTTGGCATTGTGGGTCAGGTAGGACGTCTCAGAGAATATAATATCTAAGCAGAGACATGAATATTCAGAAAGAGCCAGATGTGGGAAGCTTGAAGGAAGAACCTAGTAGGCAGAAGGAACAGAGGATGC